GTCTGATCGAGTTTTCTGTTTACTCATGACTTCACTCTGTATCACATGAGCTGGCACGGATCCATGTATGTATCTATACAGCAGGTACACATCAGAAGCATACTTTTCTAGAACAGTTTTCAATTGTCCAGATCGTAGAATGTCACAGTCAAGTGAGTCGGTGATATAGGTACAGGTATTGTACATGTAGTGAGTCGTGTATACAGCTATAAGTATTGTACATGTAGTAAGTATTGTATACAGCTATAGTGTACATGTAGTGAGTCGTGTATACAGCTATATTGTACATGTAGTAAGTCTTGTATACATCTATAGGTATTGTACATGTAGTAAGTCTTGTATACAGCTATAGGTATTGTACATGTAGTGAGTCGTGTATACAGCTATATTGTACATTTAGTGAGTCGTGTGTACAGCTATAGGTATTGTACATGTAGTAAGTCTTGTATACAGCTATAGGTATTGTACATGGAGTGAGTCGTGTATACAGCTATAGGTATTGTACATGTAGTGAGTCGTGTATACAGCTATAGGTATTGTACATGTAGTGAGTCATGTATACAGCTATAGGTATTGTACATGTAGTAAGTCGTGTATACAGCCATAGGTATTGTACATGCAGTGTGTCATGTATACAGCGATAAGTATTGTACATGTAGTAAGTCTTGTATACAGCTATAGGTATTGTACATGTAGTAAGTCTTGTATACAGCTATAGGTATTGTACATGGAGTGAGTCGTGTATACAGCTATAGGTATTGTACATGTAGTGAGTCGTGTATACAGCTATATTGTACATGTAGTGAGTCGTGTATACAGCTATATTGTACATGTAGTTAGTCTTGTATACATCTATAGGTATTGTACATGTAGTAAGTCTTGTATACATCTATAGGTATTGTACATGTAGTGAGTCGTGTATACAGCTATATTGTACATGTAGTAAGTCTTGTATACATCTATAGGTATTGTACATGTAGTAAGTCTTGTATACAGCTATAGGTATTGTACATGTAGTGAGTCGTGTATACAGCTATATTGTACATTTAGTGAGTCGTGTGTACAGCTATAGGTATTGTACATGTAGTGAGTCATGTATACAGCTATAGGTACTGTACATGTAGTGAGTCATGTATACAGCTATAGGTATTGTACATGCAGTGAGTCGTGTATACAGCTATATTGTACATGTAGTGAGTCGTGTATACAGCTATAGGTATTGTACATGTAGTGAGTCTTGTATACAGCTATAGGTATTGTTCATGTCGCGAGTCTTGTATACAATATCACACAGTGGTAACATAACAGTGGTTTACGTATTAGAATGTTTGACATATCTTCTTTCCCAACTGTGCCTGATGGAAGGTTGACAATTCGTTCCGTTGTTACCGATCACTCTTCACGTCAGAACAGGTCTTGCATATCCGTTATGTCAATATATTACATAAAACGATCAATCACACACCAGAGTTCAAGCAGGACCAAGATATAAATTAAGTAAAGACATCTATATCAAACAATAGACGAAAATGTCACTCCGAATATGGCACAATTTCCGGGCTTGATCAAGATGACAGGACAAAATGAAATATGGTTTTTATCATTTTAAATATATCATTGACATTTCGAGGCAGAATTCATTGAAACAAAGTTATTAGAAGCTACTGTTTGACTGCCTGATGCGTGACGATTATGTAGTCTGGTCCTAAACTGGAATATTTGCAAAAGCGGTGTGAAACAATATTTAATCAAGTACTTGGTAACATGTACAACACCCCTCATTCCACGGGGGCCATCTTCAACACGACTCATTCCATATTCCGGGATTTTAGAAATCTGGTCGATTTCAATCAAATCTTTGTAAAATCATAATTGGTGATGAATTTCATTTTATACCAGGGTGCCATGAATTGGACCATTTAAGAAATAAATATGTTCCATTATATTATTGTAAATATCCAAATACTGAACAATTTGTTTCACTTATGATTTGTTCTTCCAAACTTCCTCTCTTACGACTAGCCCAGTATGTAAAATGTGGACTGCGTATGCTCCACTAGCAATTGTCTAATTTCGTTGTATATATGTCTCTCTTGTCAACTTATTTATGTCACCACGGTGATTCATGAGACAAGATAAACATCAAACATCAAACGATAAAGCTGGAATATTGATAAAGCAGCGTAAAAACAAACTCACTCACTCAAACGTCAAAAACTAATACTTGGATACTTTGGGTTATTTACTCTATAACTACTCTGTAATTTATCCAATTCAAAAATGATTCCAAGCGAGTGTAAATGACATAATGTTTTTACTTATTAGGTCGAAACATTCATATTATCGTTTATCCCATGTGAGAAACATGCGTGACATATATGCAGTTGTGATAATGGAAGAAAACTGCTTGATATACCTCACATGCACAACGGTTACTGCTGTGAAAGTCTCATAATTAAGGGGGATACAACGAGCGCCTGAATTGTTGGAGGACAGGTCTCTCTGGTCGCATTACACCAGAGGTTAAGCCAATGTGATTGACAGTCGAACCTTATCCCCGGATCAAAGAGGATGATCTAACACGAAGCATGTTCATTTTGACGTCATCTTCCAATGTCCCTGACAAAGCAAGTCGAAGAAGTTATTTTAAGACCCACCCGTACATTAGCTTAGTTAATGTGTAAAAGCATTACGCTTGTCTAGCTTCTTAAATTATACAATATATGTTTATTCAGGGTTTTATGTAATGACTAATTTGTTTAAAACACTGCATATTAAAGAATATTGCTTGGGCCAACATTTATAAATCTCTGATATTCGTTGTAACGGTTGGCAGATGGGGTATCGAATTCCTTTTATTAAATAATTTCAACACTTTATGTACATACATCATGTAGCGTCTGTCCATTCGCCTACGAGCACGTGTAAGTGCGACACGCATAAATTACTTGAGTGAGTGAGTGAATATTGCTTAACGCCGCATCAGCAACTTTGCAGTTATTCCCATCAGTGCATTTGAGTGTTCATGTTCACACCCGTCCACTGAACAGTCAAGCGATAAATACAGTATATGTTATGCATGACAACGTCTTTATTCTATTATTATGCGACGTTTCCTTACAGATCCTTAATGATAAATGATCATGGATGAGGCTTCTGGCTTCTAGCTCCTGATCAGAAACAATCCAGGTTCATTATCTCTCTTGAGAATCTGCGTCTCTTTTAAGCAGACCCAGGTGATTTTGTTGAGCGTTTGTAACCATGGAAGAGTCTTTGGTTCACAACTATCAGCCAGAGAAACAGCAGAAGCATTTAACGTCTCCTCCTCCTGAAGGCAAAGGCAATGATCATTGCTTCGGGTTTCTGCGCAACCCATTCACGTTAGTACTGGCAGTCAGGCCCACAGCCGATTTCTAAATCCCGAGTATCATTAAGAAATACTGCAACTAAGAGTGAGTGAGTTGGGTTTAACGCCACTTTTAACAGTATTCCAGTTATATCGCGGCGTGTCAGCTTAAAGTGGGAGGAAAGCCCGAAGTGATGCAGGTCTCAGACGTTTACCACTTCGGTGAAACCCACGAGCACGGGTATGGTGCTGACAAACCTAGAAACATAATCGGGGCGAACCGGGATTCGAACCCACAATCATAGGTTTCTGGCATGCCCAAGGGACGCAACTCTGCACAGCGAATCGCGGCGCCTTAGACGACTGGGCCACCCGTGCCCCCTGCAACTCACAAGGTACCGATACCCGGTAGACAGCTGGCTGAAGACACCCAAACCACCTAAACCTTTCAACTAGTTAACCCAGGAGGGTTACATAAATAGTAAATATAATTTATCATTCGGGCCAATGTAACAGAAATCACCGTAATTTAACAACGTGAAAAGTAAGGCATGTCCATGCAATTGAGGAAAATACATTATGATAAACCATATGCCATTTGGAAAAAAAGGAATATCGGAATGCTTCGTTATTTGCGTTATAGAGACAAATAACGAAATATTTCGTCATTCGTGTTTCACATTCTTGAGTGACGGATAACGAATTATTTCGTCATACTTCTTTCAAATAACTCAATGACGAATTACATTGTTGTCCGTGTCTGATAACGGTTCCATCGTCTTAGGAATGGTGCTTGGTGCTATGTGGAAAAACCTTGCCACAGCTGAAGAAGATTCTCCCGTTTGCAGTCGGCCGATGGCGTTGTTGCGTTTGGCTTCCGTCAGTCGTGGAATTTTTTCGCTGTTCACTTCCTATAAGATTGTGAAGGCATGGACATGAAAACCCAACGTCATTATAGCCCTACAAGTGACGTTGCACGTGCACGTTATGTTGGTGTGTTTCGGCACCAGGCTCTCACGTGGTTGTGTTTTTGCGATATTTCCATCATTTTACCAAATTTCCTAATCATTTCCACAAATCAATCCCAGTCCATGTAGAAATGATCAATTCATTTTTGGCATTAATTTTATATGGATTTCGGAAACACTGTCACATTACGATTTTACTAATTTTGCGTTTCTTTTTTTGCAGAGTATATCAATGTTTCCCTTCTTCAGGAATCTTTTCAGAAAACATTGTCTCAGTCCATGTCTGTGCAACGTGTGATGTTAGCGAACCATTTCATCAGTCGTCATTGATATGTGTAAAAGACGAAATAATTCGTTATGCTTTATTCAGTAATTCAAATGCGGGTAACGAAATATTTATACACTTCCATAAACATGTAGAATGTCAGTTTCCCTTCCTCCATAGCACACGCTGTGTAACCCCGATGTAATGTACATAATGTACAAACTTCATATACACTCTCACCTTACAGGTACCCAACCGCTTCACATTTCATGTCCACAACATGAAACTATAACGCATGAATAAAACTAAAATGCGAATTTCAAATTCCCTTTTCATGCCCCAGTGAGTTTATTTACAAGCGTAGGATACATGGATGATGAGCTTTGAACTGTAAATCTCGTCTAGTGAAACACACAAGTACTACAAATTCAAGAATTTATTTGAGTAAAGTGAGGACAGATGACGCACAAATGAAAGTTAGTAATAGTAATCACTGGAACCGTAGTAGTATCCTCCTCCGTTTCCTCCTTTTCCATTTCCACCGTTTCCGCCATTTCCACCGTTTCCACCGTTTCCTCCACCGTTTCCACCGTTTCCTCCACCGTTTCCACCGTTTCCACCACCGCCGCTTGAACTTCCGAAAGCTTGGGCGAAAGCACTGGCAGCAGCATTGGCTGAGGCCCCAAAACTACCAAATCCACCATCACTACCACCAGAGCCGAAACCGGAACCACTTGCACTTGCTCCGGCGGAGGCACTCGCGCTTGCGGCGGCAGAGGCAGCAGCTCTGGCAGCAGCTGCAGCAGCAACCTGGACACGAGCGTAGGCGGAAGCACGGGCCTCAGCAGCGGCAGAAGCACTAGCTCTAGCTGATGCAGACGCTGATGCACTGACCCTGGCACGAGCACTGGCGACAGCCTGTGCGCGAGCTCTGGCAACTGCTCTTCCGGCAGCTGAAACTGAAGCCCTTGCCCTGGCGGTGGCAGAAGCGAAAGCACTTCCACTTGACCTAACTCCAGCAATGGAGGCTCTTGCAGCAGCACGTGCTCTTGCAACAGCTCTAGCGTAAGATCTTGATCTGCCCTCAGCTGAACGCACTGCTGAAACAGAAGCCTCAGCACTAGCTTGAGCACTGGCGAAAGCCCTCCGAGCTGATCGAACCACGGCCTCGGCGCGTGCACGTGCCCTGGCAATGATGGAAGATCCACGAGCATTAACAGAAGCCGCAGCACTAGCAGTGGCACTAGCAAGAGCAGATCCATCAACGCTTCCTCCATTTGCAGAGGCCTGAGCCGTGGCCTCGGCATAAGCGCTGGCTTGATCGTAAGCATCCTGAGCCGATTGTAGTTCGGCAGTGGCTGTCGCAAGTGCTTGGGCCTGAGCGCTGGCACTGGCACCTCCAAATCCACCATTTCCTCCAGAGCCTCCATTCCCAAAGCCTCCTGCATTAGCATTGGCGCTGGCACTTGCACTGGCGCTGGCATCCACTAGAGATGAGAGCCGTCCTACGAGGTTATTATAACTGTTTGCCCGAGCACTAGCAGAGGCAGAAGCTGAGGCCCTGGCGCTGCCGGATCCACCACCTCCTCCACCGTTTCCACCATTTCCACCGTTTCCGCCGTTTCCACCCTTTCCGCCGCCATTACCGCGACCCCAGCCATAGCCTAAAATACATTCAAAAAGTAGTTCAGTTTTATGTTTGTATTGGCATAGAGGTCAGGATATTATTCACAAAGGTGCGTAGCTTTGGGATGTGTAATATAACTTCACATTGGATGGATTAATTTTACTTTGTATTTCCAGTGTCGACATTGAACTTTGTAGATGAGCAGGGGGCTAGCTGCTCTTGAGAGAAGGTTTCTTAGGAGTGGAAGTACCGTTCCCTGTCCATATGGTGCCAAACAATTATTATTCAATCCACATCCATGTCCTCTAAACCCTCCCACTCCTCCCCTCCACACATCCCCATTCTCATCCACACGCACACATGTCATTATCATCATCATCATCATCATCATCATCATCATCATATCATCAAACTGTAAAAGTCCCCAACCAACGGTCCTCCCCAATCCATCTTTCTTACCGTAATAGTCTGCACCCACGCTGAAAGCGAGGCAGAGAACCAACAGTGGGACCCTCAACATTGTGGCTGAAATGAAAGGTAAACTTCTGTAAAATAGGGACATTTGTCATGAATACACGGCATGAAAAGAAATGTTTCAAACGTACAGATAACCTTTTGAAAAATCTAAGGATTCTCAAAGAAGAAATACGCTCCACAGTTTGGTGCGAATGTAAGGTTTATACGTGAAACTGAGGCATTGTACCTATGTAATTTAAGTAATCCTTAACTACTAGCCTGATACACACCACACACGCGGTGATTTGGGAGACAAGTCAGTGCTAGGTGAATTAACTGAATCGAATTTGCCGAGACATGTTTAACGAGAATTATATTCCTCAGTTTCTTGAACATGTTTATTTCTTACACGAGTTGGACTGAACCAAATTCGTCCTCAAATATTTCAAACGTGAACACGTTCTTCATATTTCACGTTTAATTCAACATTATCGTTTTGTGTGAATCATAATTCCTCTTGGGTAATCATGTCAGCGGGAATGATCGACATTACATTGCCTGACATCTGTAATCTAGGTACGGATACCAGTCCTTCACTCGTATGGACAATAAACACACATTTAATTGGGCGATTGTTTTTAATATACCTGTACTCACATTGGTATAATTTGACTAGAGACGTTATCATTAACATATTCTATTCTTAAAAGGGCTGTCTGTGTTATGTCAATGAATATATGAGGTTCATTGATGTACCCCTTCAGCAGATTGTTTACACCGTTTTAGTTGGTTTTAGGGAGCTTTCATGAATATTTTATATGCTGTGGGTAGTCTCAGACAAAACTGTTCTCTTTGATGTGGGACCTAAACGTATTTTTCTTATTTCAAAATATCGATACAAAGAAAATTTGTTCCAAACATATTTTTTTATTTGGAATGAAACAAGGAAGAGCATTTTGTCATCAATTTCCAAAGATTGATATTTATCGATTACTTGCTTCAGATCGTAGTTCCAGTCCCTAACGCGTTACACACACACACACACACACACACGCACGCACGCACACACGCACACACGCACGCACGCACACACGCACATACATACACACACACACACACACGCACGCACACACACACACACACATACGCACATACACACACGCTGATATTGTCAGACAGGGGTACGTACATGTAGGTAACGGCGTAAGGTAAACAAATGTACATTGTTTAAGTGATGGAATTCATTGTTAATACATAAGACTGAAACAAACATAACCAATTAAAACGAAGATTTCACATTTTTCCTCCGGACCAAGATGAGGCAGATCTAAAGACGTGCACGTGGCTATATACGTGAAATAACCTTATTTCGCCTCTCCTCACCTTACTGATGGACCGCTGTCTAGACGGATAACTGACCACCGTCTAGACGCATAACCGACCACCGTCTAGAACGGATAACCGACCACCGTCTAGACGGATAACCGACCACCGTCTAGATAGGATAACTAAACACCGTCTAGATAGGATAATTGACCACTGTCTAGATTGATAATTGACCACTGTCTTGATTGATAATTGACCACCGTCTAGATAGGATAATTGACCACTGTCTTGATTGATAATTGACCACCGTCTAGATTGATAATTGACCACTTTCTAGATTGATAATTGACCACTGTCTAGATTGATAATTGCGATGTGTGTTACATTGTGTCCAGATAAGAATTTCAACACGTCCAACTGACACCTACCTGGTAGTGAATCCTCCCTCGTAGCTACTGGCTGTTGTGGTGCCTCCTGCACCGTCACTTATATACCCCCAGGTAGCGCGGCGGCAACGGGACGTTGATCCTGGGTTCGCGTCCACCCGAATCACGTGACATCTCACACTGACATCTTCCGACGGTTGCGGTGTGGTCCCAGCGACACGCTGACAGGACAGAAGTGCCACGTGTGACACAAGGCAAAACGAAGCGTTTGACATTTTTATGTCTTTGTTGCCATCTGAACATGCCTCTTAAGGAATATGCTTAAAACAATTCAAAACGTTGAAAAAATAATTAAATCAGACAATATTGTCATATTTGGAATCGTTGTGACGACTTGTGATATTTGTGTCAAAACTGTGATAAGAAGATGAGATATACTGTTTTCGGATGGGACAACTAGATGTATATGTTAAGGAAACTGATACATACTCAGGGATATACTGCACGCAGTTGTGTCACTTTCATAACGTATGCAGATTTCCTACCAGGTGGCAATGGATAGAGAGAGTACTATTCCTCGTTAGTTATATATCAGAAGCGTTTACAAGAACAACGTTCATGTCAAGAAGACGCTTTCTTCATTAACACAATAGTACAGCTTTAAGGGCCTTCTATGCAACTCCAAATCAAAGCTATTTTCTCCCAATTCACCCACTACCGGTGAAAACACATCAATGAGCGTGTCCCTGGGATAATGGGGTGAGGAACGCATTGTCTGAAGTAAATCGAGGGACGAAACTACCGTTATCATTGAGGAAAGTAGGGCACGTTTCACCAAAAGGAAAACCTCACACGGGAGCTGCCATCGGTATTGATCACCGGAATGGGTTTATGGTACCAGATCACCCGGATATTGGTAATAGTACTTGTCCCGAACCATCCTTGGCCCGGAGATGATGGATTGACATGTGTCCTCATCATCACCTCTCAGCTAGTCACACCGAAGCTTAGAACTAAACTTGGCTGTTGTTTTTATTCTAGGTCGAGGCAAATGTATATTATGTTGTATATTCACGCCATATGCGCTTGTCCTCAAATATATAACTAGTCAGAAAGGTAAGATTTATTTTGATTTTATTCCAGAATTTTATTTTGATATGTAGAAACAGACTGCTGCATATAATGTACAGACTTGTGGTTTTAACATTCTAGGGTATTGTTTAAGTAGCAACCCATGCTTGCCGCAAAAGACGACTACGCTTGTCGTAAGATGCGACTAACGGGGTCGGGTGATTAGACTCGCTGACTTGGTTGATGCATGTCATCGTATTCCATTTCCGTGGTTCGATGCTCATGATGTCAATCAATGGATTGTCTGGTCCAGACTCGATTATTTACAGACCGCTGTCATATAGCTGGAATATTGCTGAGTGCGGCGTTAAACAACAAACAAACAAACAAAACCATGAAAGGATTGGACACAGGAAAAAGAAAGAAAGAACGAATTTATTTTTTAAATTGAGGACAGTTTTGAATACAGAGTTTTATAGATGTGATTGTTGGAATTTGGGAAGAAAAGGATAATGAGTAATGAGCCCACTGTCATGTACACACCAGTTATACTTTTGAAGAATTAGGTACAATTATCAGAGTATTATTTTGTGAATATCTAACTCGATTTATAGGAAGGAGAAACTTGCTCCTCTGAGCTAGCCCAGGGGATAAAGGTGAGGTGAGGTGCCATAGGGTTTAACGTCGCATCCAACATTATTTCGTTTATATAACGACATCGATGCACCTCTGTGTGTGTGCGTGTGTGTGTGGCTGCTCGTACTAGTGCTAGCCAACTGAGATACCATGCAGCAGTTTTAACATGAATACCCTATTCAGACACAGCATACTGACCCCGAGCCGACCAGTCGTTGTTTTAGCCCCCAGGCAGGGTAACAACAAGCACCATCTTTTAACGCCTTTTGGTATGACGCTGCCGGAGTTTGAACCCCGGACCTTCCGCTCTCCGGGCGGACGCTCTACCACTAGAACACGGAGGCAGTCCCAGGGGGTATAGCGTTGGCTCGTAACACAGGAGACCCAGTTTCCGTTTCCCTATGCAACAATGTGTGACCCCCATGCTTGGTGTCACAAGTGATATGACCGCATTATTTAATTGTATAGCAACGTAAAACCACACTCGCTCATTAAATGGAAAATGGAATTCATTGATAGGTCATTAACTCGAACTGTATAACAGGCTGTTACGTTGATGTACATCCCGAAATACTCCTTATTGTATACGATGTGTACTCCGGATGTGTCGAACTACGGATAACTCGATATGTGGATATGTTTCTCGGCAGAAACCAAAGGATAAACACGGTATCTTTTAGTGATGTTTGTGGATAAATATGCACATATGAAAAGTCAGGTAGGTACTACTTTCAATGTGTACAAACATGGCGTCGCCCTTGTCCATCGGTGGCCGAGTTGGAATTTTTGATTATCGGGGATGTCGACACATTACTGGGATAATTGACATCATTTTCAAAGTTAAAGACACAAAAAGACGGCGCCGAATAGGCGCGTAGCTGAAACCCTTTACCAGTGTAAGCAAACATATAAACGGCCATGCAATTTAGTGAGGAAGCCAGCGGTATCAGTTGCCTTTATCCGTACTCCCTCTGTTGGGGCCGCTTCCCGAATTAAAACAGTTAGATTTTTACCTTGTTTGATTTTGTCATATTTGACTGCATAATCATTAACGTTAAACCAGGTCAGACAGACTCAAAACAAACTTGGCGTGTTATAGACTAGAGTAGCTTCCCTTTGATAAAGGGCGGTTTAGCGGATGGATCGCTAGAGTCGATCACTGTGTCGATATGTGCAGGCAAATGTCGTTTTGCCTACATGACATTTACGACACTGTCAACAAAAGAAGTATCGGTTGGAACTACAATGACCATTGTTTTAGTGTCTGACTGACTTAATCACTGATCCTGTGACTGAATATATCAATGTGCACATTCCAGGAAAACTTGCAATGTTTACGTATTGTTTCTCAGAGATGAGAATGCAAATTCGACGATAGAATTTCATGATCTCACAATTATAACCATAACAACATATTAGGAGTTTTCCTCCATTATTGAGGTTTTAGTTCTCGTAAGTATGTACAGTCTCACAATTATCACCATGACAACATAACGGGAGTTTTCCTGGTGTTAAGGACGTTTTAGTTCTGGTAATCATGTTCAATCTTACAATTATCACCATCACTACATATCGGTACTTTTCCTCGCGATCCGTTTAGTTGTATATATGTTATGGAATGTGACTGTATGATATAGATACATATGTCACACTTACTTGACTGATTTATAATGTATAGTATTAACCACTTTGTCTATAATTAGTGCAAAAGCATGGGGTTTCAGGGTTATAATTGGAATCCAGCAACCTAGGCTTGTTGGATCGGATGGTCAGGCTTGGTGGCTTTGGTTGATAGCGTGTCATCGCTCCCCGACGGTGATGATCGTTGCTTATTATATCAATTACTGGATTGCCTGGTCCAGACTCGATTAGTTACAGGCCGTAGTATATCTGGAATTTTGAGGAGTGCGGCATTTAATTATAAACACACACTATTTAATCTATTCAAAATAAAGCAAAAAATAAATGAACCCCAAAGAAATTGGTATAGAAATGCTTTTATGTGTATATTTAGAACGAGATTGTACAAAAACTATAAAAAAGGCAGATCTTGCTGCGTGGGGGGGGGGGGGGGGGGGGGGGGGGTTGAAAATGTGTGGGGAATAATTTTCGAATTTAAAAAAAAATATTATTTGTAGCTGATCAAGCATCAATTAAATGCTATAAAACCTTCCCAAAATATGTACTTGAAATTAACAATGAATTATCTAAAGAAAACAACTTCACAAACATAATTTAACAATGGGTTTGAACTTTGATTTGAGGCATGTCTGTTCAAGAGAATGCCAATGAGAGTTACTCCCCTTAGTTTTCATTGCCATGAGGTAGTACTAACATGGAAAGAAAGTGTTGTCTCTATGATGAACCTCTTTCAGGCGAGAATACAGTCGCCCTGACCGATAAAGGGTGTAAGGGTCTGTTGAAAGCTGCAACTGAACCAGGTGATAATGACTTAATTTTCAGTTGTGGACAAGAGATTTACGCATCATGTCGTCGCTCATATGTAGATCTTAAAGAATTGCTAGGAAGAGAAAATCAAATTTATGAAAATGTACCAGATCGCTGTACATTTCGGTCCCATGGATATGTATTTAAATTCAATGAAGACTGTCTGTTCTGTGGGAAACCTATAAGTCAACCTCAGAGAATTAAAGTTTTTCAGGAATCGTACCTGTACGAACTGCAAATTTTCAACATGATGTTTATAAAGTTCAAAGAAAGAGACGTGCCATTGAACAAATGTTGATGAGTAGCCTGAAAATAACTGGTGGTCTGTCAAGAGGACGTCGAATGCCAGAGGTTCAGAGGCTAGTCGGTGACCCGGCCATCTTGTTCAGGAATGAATGAATCAATACAGCTACTACTGATAGGACATATCTACGTTCCAGGTGAACACCACAACGAGAGCAGCAATGCCAGACAACAGAGAGATCGGAAAGACACAGAAGCTATAACAGAATATTTGTGTGACGGAAACCGTTTATGTATTGAGGTATTGAAGAGAATTTCAAGTGGAGTGGTGTCTGGTGAGAGCAATGCTGCTGAAGCAAAGCAGGTTGGATTGAAGGTTATGGAAAAGATGAAAGGGAAAAGTGTAAATGATTAAACATTACGTAAGAAAGACTAAATCAATGCCATGAATGACAATACAGGAGTAAGAATTGAGGGGGAAACTGTCACGTTTGATGATCAACTTCAATTACAGCAGCCAAAGGATGCACAACTTTTGTTTCAGAGACTAATAACAGCAGCCAAAGGCCCCTTTACAGAAAAGGAGTTAACATCACTGTCTTCTTATGAACTATGTACATACCCTCGCTCTCCGTTTGAGTCACCACATTTGTTTAGAGAAGCTGACAAGTCTGCCTTAGCAGATGCCAT